GTGAGGGGAGTGGTGTTGCAGCCAGGACAACACTGGATCGGTGTGAGAGGCGTCGGGTAAGTATTTAGCAATAGAGGGGGTAGGACATAGTTGGGGGTTTTATACTTTAATACGAAGAATGCATTCAGCGCAAAAAAATTAGATTTTAGAACTGCTTTAACACTTAAGGTCTTGTGCTACTGCAGCCTGTGACTGGGCAGTGAAAGGAGAAGCAGCAGAGATATGAGCTCAGCTCTCAGTCACTCTGATCTCCTTTCCTATCATCATGCTCCTTGGTAACACATCTGGAATTAAGGGAAGGGGAGGGCTGGGGAGGGTAGGGAAAGGAAAGGAGTCTTCTTCCTCCCCCTCCTGTGACTGGACAGTGAAAGGAGAAGCAGCAAATAGATGAGCTCAGCTCTCTGTCACTCTGATCTCCTTTCCTATCATCATGCTCCTTGGTAACACATCTGTAATGAAGGGGAGGGCTAGGGAGGGGAGAGGGAAGGAGAGGGGAGGGAAAGGAGTCTTGTCCCTCCCCCTCCTGCGACTGGATAGGGAAAGGAGAAGCAGCAGACTGATGTGCTCAGCTCATTGTCACTCTGCTCTGTTTTTCTATCATCATGCTCCCTGGTAACACATCTGGAATGAAGGTAAGGGTTAGGGAGGGGAGAGGGAAGGAGAGGGGGAGGGAAGGAGAGGGGGAGGGAAGGGGAGAGAAAGGAGTCTTGTCCCTTCCCCTCCTGTGACTGGACAGGGAAAGGAGAAGTAGCAGACTGATGTGCTCAGCTCTCTGTCACTCTGCTCCCCTTTCCTATCATCATGCTCCTTGGTAGCACATCTGGAATGAAGGGAAGGGGAGAGCTGAGGAGGGGAGAGGGGGAGGAAAAGGAAAGGAGTCTTGTCCCTCCCCCTCTTGTGACTGGATAGTGAAAGGAGAAGCAGCAGACTGATGAGCTCAGCTCTATGACACTATGCTCTCTCCTCCTATCAGCATGCTCCTTGTTATAATAAAAGAGAAATTATGCCATTATTGTTCCCCCTATCCCTCTCCATGCTGCATTCTCTGTCATTTTAAACTGGAAACAATATGGGGAGCAAAACTCCCTTCAAATAGCAGCAGTTAGGAACACCTGTGAAATACAGTGGATGGGCGGAGTTAGGAACATCTGTGAAATACAGCGTGTGGGTGGAGTTAGGAACACCTGTGAAGAACAGCGGGTGGGCGGAGTTAGGTACACCTGTGAAGAACAGTGGGTGGGTGGAGTTAGGTACGCCTGTGAAGAACAGCGGGTGGGGGGAGTTAGGTACACTTGTGAAGAACAGTGGGTGGGTGGAGTTAGGTACACCTGTGAAGAACAGTGGGTGGGTGGAGTTAGGTACACCTGTGAAGAACAGCGGGTGGGCGGAGTTAGGTACACCTGTGAAGAACAGCGGGTGGGAGGAGTTAGGTACACCTGTGAAGAACAGCGGGTGGGGGGAGTTAGGTACACCTGTGAAGAACAGTGGGTGGGTGGAGTTAGGTACACCTGTGAAGAACAGCGGGGGGGTGGAGTTAGGTACACCTGGGAAGAACAGCGGGTGGGGGGAGTTAGGTACACCTGTGAAGAACAGCGGGTGGGGGGAGTTAGGTACACCTGTGAAGAACAGTGGGTGGGTGGAGTTAGGTACACCTGTGAAGAACAGCGGGGGGGTGGAGTTAGGTACACCTGTGCAGAGGGTTTCCCAAGTTCCTGGTACATATGTGTATAGCTGCTCAGCCCACTTTTCATCACACATGACTAGAATAGTTGTCACGGGTGGACCTTCCTTTCACGGAATGAATATTTCTATTTCTATAAAATATAATCATCTTTGTAATTTGTATTTCAGACCGGAAAGCTGTCCTCTCTCAGGGGACCCTGAAATGTGTTGGATCCTCCCTGTTCCTCAAGAGCAAATGGGGTGTCAGCTACCGCCTAAGGTATGTGCAGCAAACACATGGTGTGCAAAGTCCTGCAGTTGGTTTTCTGTAGCCACAGCCTGAGTAGAAAAGCCTGTCCCCTGCCGGCATGAAGTAGACAAGGACCCCTTACTCTCTGTGTGGAAGCAGGGGTCTCTGTCCTGGCATCCAACATGCCCCATTCTGAATCAGCCCTGCAATTCCTACTGAAGCTCTGACCCTGACCTCGGCAGAGAGATCACTGCAGAGAGGTTTTTTGGACAGAAGTAGGTAATGGTTAAAAAAAGAATTCCAGGTATGGATATTTTTACATCGTTACATTGTTCCAGCTTGGACCAGTGTAACTATATATATACCAGGGGCGTATCTACAGGGGTCGCAGTTGTGACCCTGCCCATGCTCCAGGGGGCCCTTGCAGCTCCCCTGTGTGCCTGGATAGGAGGAGGCGGTGAAGGCAGTGGCATATATATAGAAGAACTGATGCCCTCCATTTTCCTCCTGCAGTTCTTCTACATGCCGGCCCTCCTATCCAGGTCCCACTTCTAGTGGGCCCTTGTGTACTCCCTTGGCTCCTCCCCCTCCCCTTGCTGCCGGGTTCCCTCCTCTCCTCAGCCCTCTCCCAAGGATCAGGATGGAGAGCGGGGAATGTCCTTTTCTGAATGGACATTGATGGTACCAATCAGGGGCTGACTGACCATTTGGAAACTCGGGCACTGCCCGAGGGCCCGGGGTCAGTAGGGGGCCCCATGAGATGCCCCTGGTACCTTTTTCATAGGCTTTTTTGAGTTTGGGCAAAGACACAGGGGCCCCATGATCCCCTATTGCCCCGGGGCCCCATGAGTTGTCAGTCCACCCCTGCTCTTGGATACCCTGTGATGGTTGGAGTCAATGGGGTGAGTCTGGTGTGTCTTTGTGATATCATTTCTTGCTGTGACCAATCAAATGTGTCTTTCCATTCAGCATGGATATAAAATCCTCGTGTAACATCGCATCTGTGTCTGCGCTCGTCTCACAACACGTTCCCGGGGCGAATCTGATGCTGGCCACTGAGAACTGCCTGACCTACGGCTTGCCATTGAAGGACGTGGACATATTCCCAGGTGATTAGTGATACTCATCTATACTCGTCCCTCTGCCCTTCCCTCCTCATCGACATGGAAGAGCGGCTCCCTTGATCTGCCCCTAGTCTTGCCTTTCCCTTTCCCAGTCTGAGTGTTGGCCTCCAAGAGGAAAGGCTGACACCATATTCAGGTGCTGACTACACTAGCTTTACATTGATCCATGTGGTCATGAATAAACAATTGTGTCCATCTGTGTTTTCTATACAGTTCAGCTTTAAAGGGGACTTAGAAGACTTTCCACCCATCAGAGTTTGTCTTTGGACTGCCTTGTATTTTGTTACGTCTTGGTCTGGTTGAGTTGTCTGGTTCTTTGTCTGGCGATAGACCCCTCGCTCCTGAAATATGATATGGAAGTGTCCAAAAGCTGAACAATAATGACTGCCCCCTTGACAGTTGGGGTGTAGGGCATAAACAACTGCACCTGCATGGGAATTCAGGTTTGAAACTGACCGGTAGTAGCTTGACTGGATGATGTAGAAGAGGTCATCTTCATAGGCCAAGTAATGATCTCCTTTCATGCAGGATGGGTTCAAGCTGTAGATCACCAGATCTTCACCAGAATTAAAGTTTGTTGATCTCATGTAACAACCAAGGTCTTTCCTTTACCGCATTGTGGTTCAGTTGAGTTGTCTTTATTCTGGATTTTGCTACGTTGTGGTCCATTTGAGTTGTCCATATCGTGGATTTTGTTACCGTGTGTGGTCTGGTAGTGATGGTTATGTTCTGGAATTTGTTACGTTGTACTCCAGTTGAGCTGTCTTTATCCTGGGTTTTGCTATGTTGTAGTCTGGTTGAGTTTTCTTTATTTTGGATCTTGTTACATCGTGATCCAGTTGAGTTGTTTTCATCTGGATTTTGTTACCTTGTGGTTTGGTAAAGATGTCTTTATTTTGGGTTTTGTTACATTGTGGTCCAGTTGAGTTGTCTTTATTCTGGATTTTGTTACCTTGTAGCCTGGTAGAGTTGTATTTATCCTGGATTTTGTTACCTTGTGGTCTGGTAGAGATGTCTTTATCCTGAATTTAATTGCGTTATGGTCCATTTGAGTCATCTTCATCCTGGATTTTTGTTACCTTGTGGTCTGGTAGTGATGTTTATGTTCTGGAATTTGTTACGTTGTGGTCCAGTTGAGCTGTCTTTATCCTGGATTTTGCTATGTTGCGGTCCACTGGAGTTTCTTTATCCTGGATTTTTGCTACCTTGTGGTCTGGTAGAGATGTCTTTATTCTGGAATTTGTTACGTTGCGGTCCAGTTGAGTTGTCTTTATTCTGGTTTTTGCTACGTTGTTGTCCATTTGAGTTGTCTATATCCTGGATTTTGTTACCTTGTGGTCTGGTAGTGATGTTTATGTTCTGGAATTTTTTACGTTGTAGTCCAGTTGAGCTGTCTTTATCCTGGAATTTTCTACATTGCGGTCCACTGGAGTTGTCTTTATCCTGGATTTTGTTACCTTGTGGTCTGGTAGAGATGTCTTTATTCTGGAGTTTGCTATGTTGTAGTCTGGTTGGGTTGTCTGTATCCTGGGTTTTGTTAAGTTGTGGTCCAGTCTTTATTCTGGATTTTGCTGCATTCTGGTCCGGTAAAAATGTCTTTATTCTGGAGATTGTTACATTATGGTCCAGTTAAGTTTTCTGTATTCTGGATTTTGCTACGTTGTGGTCCATTTGAGATGTCTTTATCCTGGGTTTTGCCATGTTGTAGTCCGGTTGAGTTGTCTTCATCCTGGATTTTTTTTACCTTGTGTTCTGGTAGAGATGTCTTTATTCTGGAATTTGCTACATTGTGGTCCAGTTGAGTTGTCTTTTCTTGGATTTTGTTACATTGTGGTTTAGTTGCGTTATCTTTATCCTGGATTTTGCTATGTTGTGGCTCAGTTGAGTTGTCTTTGTTCTGGATTTCCTTACATTCGGTCCGGTTGGGTTGTCTTTATTGTGTGTTTTATTTCTGTGATCTCCATTTTCTAGGATTGTTTTCAGCCTTGGACAATGACTGCAGCCTGGGAATCCTGACCTATGGAGTGTCGGTCACCACGTTGGAGGATGTCTTCTTCAGACTAGAAGCAGAATCTGAGGTGGACCAAACAGGTAATGATCTCCTGATCCTGGTGATTGGTCCGTTGTCTTGCTCAGCTGGAAATGCTGCAAAAGACAGAGACATGGTCATGACTCCATTCCTGATCCTTAAAGCAGAACTAAAATATATCTGAGCACTACACACCGAAAACACTATTTAACCACCTCACGTCCGGCCGTTGTATATAAACGGCCGGATGGGAGCAGTGCTGGGGCGGGTGGCCATTTATAAGTGGCCTCCCCGCCCCCTGCTTGTGCAAGCTCCCATGGAGCACGCAGCACCGCGATCCGGTGCCCGCTGTGTCCTCTGGACACACTGATCCTTGTACGGGACCTCTGTGGGAGGCCCGATCATGTAATCACTGATTGGCCAATCAGTGATCACATGAATAGTAGTAAGCAAGATGTCACTTCTGACATCATTGCTTACTACGTGTGAAATCTGTGAATGATCACAGAGATCACATGGTACAGGGCCATTCACAACAGCCTTTTACCATGTGACAAGCTGTGACCAATCACAGCTCACACAGTAGTTCTCAATGGTTGCAAGAATGCAGCCAGAAAGGAGAAATGCTATTACAGCCTTTATGGGTGTAAAAGCAATCAGTGTAAAAAAAAAAAAATCTTCATCACCCCCCACAAGTAGTACAATGTCACCATGGTGACATTGTACTGCTAGGGTGACGGTATGAAAAAAAAGCATAAATAATATAAAAAAATAAAATAAAAATAAAAAATGTTTAAAAAATTATAATTTTTGGTTATAAACTAATTTGTTTTTTTTTTCTACTTAAAAGATAACTGAATAAATTTTGGCCAAGATTTATGAAGAAAGATTATTTATTTGCAAAATTTTATAAGAAAAACACTTTTTTTTCAAAATGTTTGGACCCCCCACAAAAAAGAAAATCTCCTCCTAGCACAAATACCCCTCAATCATCCCTACTAGCACAATTACCCCCCCCCCCCCCCCCCCAAAAAAAAAAAAAAATTCTCCTAGACCTAGCACAATCCCCCCCCCCCCCCCCCCCCCCCCCCCCCCCAAAAAAAAAAAAAAACCAAAACAATTCTCCTAGACCTAGCACAAATTCCCTCCCTCCCCTACCATATTTCCTAGAACAAACCCTCTAAATCCCCCTTTATAGCACAAGTCCTCTTCTCCTATACCCCTCATACAGTGGGGCAAAGAAGTATTTAGTCAGCCACCAATTGTGCAAGTTCTCCCACTTACAAAGATGAGAGAGGCCTGTAATTGGCATCATAGGTAGACTCTCTGCAGGTCTTTCACTAGGTCCCCCCGTGTGGTCCTGGGATTTTTGCTCACCGTTCTTGTGATCATTTTGACCCCGTGGGGTGAGATCTTGCGTGGAGCCCCAGATCGAGGGAGATTATCAGTGGTCTTGTAGGTCTTCCATTTTCTAATTATTGCTCCCACAGTTGATTTGTTCACACCAAGCTGCTTGCCTATTGCAGATTCAGTCTTCCCAGCCTGGTGCAGGTCTACAATTTTGTTTCTGGTGTCCTTCGACAGCTCTTTGGTCTTCACCATAGTGGAGTTTGGAGTGTGACTGTTTGAGGTTGTGGACAGGTGTCTTTTATACTGATAACAAGTTCAAACAGGTGCCATTGATACAGGTAATGAGTGCAGGACGGAGGAGCCTCTTAAAGAAGAAGGTCCAGGTCTGTGAGAGCCAGAAATCTTGCTTGTTTGTAGGTGACCAAATACTTATATTCCACCATAATTTGCAAATAAATTCTTTCCAGATCAGCCAATGAGATTGTCTGGATTTGTTTTCTCATTTTGTCTCTCATAGTTGAGGTCTCCCTATGATGCCAATTACAGGCCTCTCTCATCTTTGTAAGTGGGAGAACTTGCACAATTGGTGGCTGACTAAATACTTTTTTGCCCCACTGTATTTTGAATACGGCCAAAATTGTAGTATTTCAGATATATGTCAATATATTTGGGAAGAATATTTTTAAAATATGTTTCAAATATATTTTGCTTCCATATGGGGTAAAGGTAAAAGGTGACCACCAATCATAATCGGCTTTAGGAGCCATATTGCATTTGGAGTGAATTTTTACGTCCCTGAATGATATTATTCTCCGTCTGTTTTTTATTATAGATGGCAATATTTTCACCCATCAGAAGATAGATGATGACAGGAAGTGGAAATCCACGGAAGATATTGACCAGGGCTTGCTGGCCCTTCCGGAGTCCGATCCCTGTACCGTGAGTGGCCGCGCTCTGTGGAAGCAGCAAGTCCGGACCATAGCCAAGCTACATTTCCGCAACTTATGCAGAGACCGGAAATGTATCCGAAACGTGTGAGTATTTATCCGCTGGGAGATAGGAAAGAACACTTAACCCCTTCGCAACTGAGGATAAAACAAATCATAAGCACAATTTTGCAACTTTTGACGTGTTAGCAAAACCGTCCATATCATCACAACTACTTTGTGCATCCAGGTGGATTATACTGCGGTTTTATTCAGGATCAATTGCGATTTCATTTGGTGTTGAGCAAGGGCGGACTGACAACTCATGGGGCCCCCGGGCAATAGGGGATTATGGGGCCCATGTGTCCTCGCCCACACTCAAACCACACCCAAAAAAGCCTATTAAAGGTACCAGGGGCATCTCATGGGGCCCCCTACTGGCCCCGGGCCCTCGGGCAGTGCCCGATTTCCCAAATGGTCAGTCTGCCCCTGGTGTTGAGTGGTATTGGATATCTCCTGATTTTTTTTTTTATAATCAAAGGAAAACTGGCCCAAAATAGTAAAAAAAAATCTTTTTTTTTAATTTAGCTGTATATTTCTTGCTTCTACCATAAACTACCACCAAAGAACAACCCAAAATAAATTCTCCTGCTACTGACGATCGCAGCGATACCACACACGTTAGTTTTTGTTTGTACTCATAGTCTGGCCCAGAAACATTAGCATACATTTTGCTTTTTCTTTATCCTGCCTAAAATACACTGATACTAATTTAAAAAAAAAAAAAAAAAAAAAAAATCTGACCCTGACCTTGACCTTTGACCCTGACCTTGACCCAAACACTAACCCTGGCACTGACCTAGATCAAACCTGGATTATTATTTTTTTATTATTATATTTATTTTTTTATACACTTTTTTTTTTTCTCTTTCTGAAAGGACACAGAGAGATACAATTTATCTCTCTCCTCCATTTAGAGAGAGAAAACACAGGGGCAGGCTCCACAGTGACTGATCAATCAGGGGCTATCACTGCGATCAGGTGACCTGGAATCAGGGGTTCCGGGTTCCAATTATTACCACAGGACCCTGGGCTCAGACAGGTACACAAATATGTGGCCCCACGGAAAAAGCCCAGTCCAGTGGGACCGCATATTTGCATCCAGTCGTTGTGAAGGGGTTAAAGTATACCTGTGGGGTGGGCTAACAACGTGAAAGAGTCAGTCCACCCAAAATGTAGGGGGGTTCCGGTTGTTTTCTTACATCTTTTGATTGTGCATTTCCTCTGCAACTCATATTCAGAATCCCCACTCTCCCCATTGGATTTGGTACTATGGAGAATCCATTTAGAAGAGTGGGAACACCGTGATACCAAAAAACTCAGAAGTGAGAGGAAATAGAGCCAGAAGCTGGAGAAAGGACTTCTCACCACTGGGATCCCTAGTAGATAAAAACTCCTTTAGATTATCTATTGTCACAGACATCACCAATTTTGTGAACTGTTTTTTGGGTGTACATAGCTGGCTGTCGGTCTGAGTAGCAGATCCCCAAGTTCCTTATAAAGGAAATGCATGGTTGCCTTGTGACTTCCTCCTTTTGCTGATGCATGGGTCTTCCTTTTGCTGATGCATGGGTCCTCCTTTTGGCCAGTGAGTCTACCCATCATATTCCTAGCTGTTATGGTGCCCCCCCCTTGCAGGTGACTTGGGCTCGCTTAAGGCACAAAGTCTAAGTGCAAGTTGGTCTTCAGCAGAGCTCTTGAAGGTGTAGTTAATGGTACAGGTTTCTTTGCTTCAAACTGGCACCAGGTCAGAGTCCTCAGGATCGCCCCACCAATGGGTCTCTGGTCCGGAAGAGTTATGATGCAGGAACTGTTCATGATGCAGAAGACAAGAGGGTAGTGGAGTCCAAGCAGAGGTCATGGCAGGCAAGAGAGCAGCCAGGTCCAGGCAGAGGTCATGGCAGGCAAGAGAGCAGCCAGGTCCAGGCAGAGGTCATGGCAGGCAAGAGAGCAGCCAGGTCCAGGCAGAGGTCATGGCAGGCAAGGGAGCAGCCAGGCCCAGGCAGAGGTCATGGCAGGCAAGGGAGCAGCCAGGCCCAGGCAGAGGTCATGGCAGGCAAGGGAGCAGCCAGGCCCAGGCAGAGGTCATGGCAGGCAAGGGAGCAGCCAGGCCCAGGCAGAGGTCATGGCAGGCAAGGGAGCAGCCAGGCCCAGGCAGAGGTCATGGCAGGCAAGGGAGCAGCCAGGCCCAGGCAGAGGTCATGGCAGGCAAGGGAGCAGCCAGGCCCAGGCAGAGGTCATGGCAGGCAAGGGAGCAGCCAGGCCCAGGCAGAGGTCATGGCAGGCAAGGGAGCAGCCAGGCCCAGGCAGAGGTCATGGCAGGCAAGGGAGCAGCCAGGCCCAGGCAGAGGTCATGGCAGGCAAGGGAGCAGCCAGGCCCAGGCAGAGGTCATGGCAGGCAAGGGAGCAGCCAGGCCCAGGCAGAGGTCATGGCAGGCAAGGGAGCAGCCAGGCCCAGGCAGAGGTCATGGCAGGCAAGGGAGCAGCCAGGCCCAGGCAGAGGTCATGGCAGGCAAGGGAGCAGCCAGGCCCAGGCAGAGGTCATGGCAGGCAAGGGAGCAGCCAGGCCCAGGCAGAGGTCATGGCAGGCAAGGGAGCAGCCAGGCCCAGGCAGAGGTCATGGCAGGCAAGGGAGCAGCCAGGCCCAGGCAGAGGTCATGGCAGGCAAGGGAGCAGCCAGGCCCAGGCAGAGGTCATGGCAGGCAAGGGAGCAGCCAGGCCCAGGCAGAGGTCATGGCAGGCAAGGGAGCAGCCAGGCCCAGGCAGAGGTCATGGCAGGCAAGGGAGCAGCCAGGCCCAGGCAGAGGTCATGGCAGGCAAGGGAGCAGCCAGGCCCAGGCAGAGGTCATGGCAGGCAAGGGAGCAGCCAGGCCCAGGCAGAGGTCATGGCAGGCAAGGGAGCAGCCAGGCCCAGGCAGAGGTCATGGCAGGCAAGGGAGCAGCCAGGCCCAGGCAGAGGTCATGGCAGGCAAGGGAGCAGCCAGGCCCAGGCAGAGGTCATGGCAGGCAAGGGAGCAGCCAGGCCCAGGCAGAGGTCATGGCAGGCAAGGGAGCAGCCAGGCCCAGGCAGAGGTCATGGCAGGCAAGGGAGCAGCCAGGCCCAGGCAGAGGTCATGGCAGGCAAGGGAGCAGCCAGGCCCAGGCAGAGGTCATGGCAGGCAAGGGAGCAGCCAGGCCCAGGCAGAGGTCATGGCAGGCAAGGGAGCAGCCAGGCCCAGGCAGAGGTCATGGCAGGCAAGGGAGCAGCCAGGCCCAGGCAGAGGTCATGGCAGGCAAGGGAGCAGCCAGGCCCAGGCAGAGGTCATGGCAGGCAAGGGAGCAGCCAGGCCCAGGCAGAGGTCATGGCAGGCAAGGGAGCAGCCAGGCCCAGGCAGAGGTCATGGCAGGCAAGGGAGCAGCCAGGCCCAGGCAGAGGTCATGGCAGGCAAGGGAGCAGCCAGGCCCAGGCAGAGGTCATGGCAGGCAAGGGGAGCAGCAGCCAGGCCCAGGCAGAGGTCATGGCAGGCAAGGGAGCAGCCAGGCCCAGGCAGAGGTCATGGCAGGCAAGGGAGCAGCCAGGCCCAGGCAGAGGTCATGGCAGGCAAGGGAGCAGCCAGGCCCAGGCAGAGGTCATGGCAGGCAAGGGAGCAGCCAGGTCCAGGCAGAGGTCATGCCAGGCAAGAGAGCAGCCAGGTCCAGGCAGAGGTCATAGCAGGCAAGAGAGCAGCCAGGTTCAAGCAGAAGTCCAGGCAGTTGGCAGGCACAAGAGTAGTCAGGTACAGGCAGTGATCATGGCAGGCAACAGTGTGGTCAGGTTAACAAAACGCAACTAGCTGTTAAGTATTGCACCTCTTTAGCTCTCAGGTAGCGGATGAGAAGACACAGCACCTACCACGTTACTGAAATTGTTACTGGGAACTGTGAAAGTCTTGGCAGGGATTCTGAGAGTACCGTAACACCAATAAAAAAATAAGAAGGATGGGATGTGGTAAAACAGAATGTGGTTGAGTTTTCCTTTATTGAGCTCCCTGGGTTCTGAGGCTGTTTTGGTGATAGGCAAGCCTTCAACCAACATCCTGCCGCATGGGCTCTTTCATTTGGCCATTTTGCCACCTGTCATGTCATCAGATAAGCAAACAAATGGCCAACTAAAGGAGTTCACATGGCAGTCTACCTACGCTGCTGCAACAGAGTCACAAAACATTATTTTGCTAAAGAAAACTGTATACAGTGAGACGTGACGCCAAAACATGCTCAGAATAGATTTCAGTTTTACACTTTAAATCCTTCTGTTCCTTCTCTTCCAGGTGTCTGTCTTTATTCCTTTTCCTGGCTGCCCAGGTCGCAGTAAACATTCTTCACTGGTACAATCACAAGCCTTCCATCCCCATCAAACTGTCTTCTGATCTGTATTTCCTGCGTCCAGGACAGAAGAGTCAGAAGGACCTCAGCAGCCTTCTTCTCCAGAGCTCCACAGGTAACCTTTGGATCCCTAATGTCACTTTAAGGCAGTGTTTCTCAACTCCAGTCCTCATGGACCCCCAACAGGTCATGTTTTCAGGATTTCCCTCAGATGAAACAGCTGTGGTAATTACTAAGGCAGTGAAACTGATCAAATCACCTGTGCAAAATAATGGAAATCCAGAAAACATGACCTGTTGGGGGTCCATGAGGACTGGAATTGAGAAACACTGCTTTAAGGGGAATACCAGGCTCAACACAACAATCGGTAATCTATATATAATGTCAAAAGCCAAATGCCCACCACCCCCTTTTTTCAGTTGCACCATTTGGAAGAAAAACCTTTGGGCTTGTAACAGGAAATAAACCCTCACTCCAATAAAGTCTTGTTTTGGTGGGTTTAAAATCCTAAGGAACCCTTACAAATAGTCGCCCTTACTGAAAGTGGTTCATATACGCAGTGTCCCTTCTCTCTCCATCCACACTGTACTCTAATCCTGGGAAAACACACCAAAACATTCAACAGATCCAAAGACACAAGCAGATCAATTGTTATGCCAATTTCAGCTTTTGCTGGGAGGGTTAAGCCTGTTCCCACCCCTTCTTCCTCCTTACTGGTCCTTTAAGCCTAGTATACATGGGCTGAATGTTGGGCAGCATTGGTAGTGTGTACCAGGTTTTAGTGTGGTATGTGGCCTTAGTGACTAATAGCAAGGCTTGAATGGCCGAAAAGGGTTCTGCCAAACTGTTACAGGAATGTAAACCACATATCCACCAAGGATGGGTAAAAACCTCACCACCAGTGGCTCTTGGTGGACCATCATAATAATGTTCTTCCTTCTCCTCCTCTTCCACTGGTACCTCTTGTGAGATCACCACAGTAATGTTCTCCCTTCTCCTCCTTTTCTACCACTATCTCTTGGTGGACCATCATAATAATGTTCTCCCTACTCCTCCTCTTCCACCGGTGCTTCTCGGTGGACCACCTTAGCAGTTATTATGTTGGTCCACCAAGAGACAGCGGGGAAAAGGAGGAGGACCTCCTTTTCCACTGCTGTCTCTTGGTAGACCAACATAATACTGTTTACCTTTCTTCTTCTTTTCCATCGCTGTCTCTTGGTGGACCATCATAATAAAGTTCTCCTGTTTTCTCCTCTTCCATGAGTACTTCAAGGTCTACCACCATAGTAATGTTCTCCCTTTTCCTCCTTTTCCACTGCTGTCTCTTGGTGGACCAACATAATGTTTTCCCTTCTTCTCCTTTTTCACCGGTGTCTCTTGGTGGACCATCATAATAATGTTCTCCTATTTCCTCTTCTTTCACCGATGCTCCTTTGATGGACCATCATAATAATGTTTTCCTGTTTCCTCCTCTTCCATCGGTACTTCAAGGTGGACCACCATAGTAATGTTCTCCCTTCTCCTCCTTTTCCACTGCTGTCTCTTGGCGGACCATCATAATAATGTTTTCCTATTTCCCTCTTCTTCCACCGATGCTTCTTGGTGGACCATCATAATATTGTTCTTCTTTTTCCTCCTCTTCCATCGGTACTTCAAGGTGGACCACCATAGTAATGTTCTCCCTTCTCCTCCTTTTCCACTGCTGTCTCTTGGTGGACCAACATAATAATGTTTTCATTCTTCTCCTTTTCCACCGGTGCCTCTTGGTTGTCCACCATAATAATGTTCTCCTATTTCCTCTTCTTCCACCGATGCTTCTTGGTGGACCATCATAATAATGTTCTCCTGTTTCCTCCTCTTCCATCGGTACTTCATGGTGGACCACCATAGTAATGTTCTCCCTTCTCCTCCTTTTCCACTGCTGTATCTTGCTGGACATACATAGTAATGTTCTCTCTTCTCCTCCTTTTCTACTGGTGCTTCTTGGTAGACCACCAAAGTAATGTTCTCCCTTCTCCTCCTCTTCCACAGATGCCTCTTGATGGACCACCCTAGTAATGTAGTCCCTTCTCCTTCTCTTCTACCGGTGCCTCTTGCTGGACCACCATAATAATGTTTTCCCTTCTCCTCTTCTTCCACCAGTGCTTCTTGGTAGACCACCATAGTAATGTTCTCCCTTCTCCTCCTCTTCCACTACTGCCTCTTGGTGGACCACAATAGCGATGTTCTCCCTTCTCTTCCTTTTCCACTACTGCCTCTTGGTGGACCACAATAGCGATGTTCTCCCTTCTCTTCCTTTTCCACTACTGCCTCTTGGTGGACCACCATATTAATGTATTATAATATAACTCTCCTCTTCCTCTACTCTTCTTTTTCTGTTTTGCTGACAATGTTTATATTCAACACAGATGCAAATTATCCATCGTAAAGCTTTGGCCTTTTTTCTCCACAGGTGCCAGTATAGATGAGATAATTGACCACCTGCACAGCCAAAGGATAAAGGTGGACCTGATGAATGGGACTGACTATATGTCTGTCGCTCCTCACAGTGGCGCTTTGGATGTCATTAGTTCAGGAAAGGTAGGAGGGTGTAAGTAGTGAGTAGAGTACAGCATGCACCGCATTTATCCAATCGCTGGCGGGAAGATGTGAAGTGGGCCAAAGGAACCATCATACTCAATTCTGTTCTCCCCCTTGGCCATTATAGACCAAACCGCATTTCCACTATAGGCCTCTTTATTCGGCAATAATTAAGAACAAACAAGGCTTTCTTTTGGCAATAATGTGTGACGGGAGTCACTTTGGGTGGGGGGCCCATGGAACCCAGCTCACTTTGGAGAGATGGGGAGACCCCTGTCTCAGCTCCCCATATCCCTCTTATGTGTAAGTCACCCTGTGCCTGTTAGGGGTACAGGGTGATCTGCCCTAATATTGGGGTGGGGGGTTGTTGATTGTTTAATGCCATGTGGTTGCATCCCACTGTTCTATTGTGTGTTTTGCTTCTATTATGGGATGTATGTGTTTATGTGTATAAGCTTAGTGGGGGGTGTCTCCAGCAGCCCTCCCTCCTGATGGGACTGTCTGCTGGTGTGAAGTTTGAATACCGGTGTGTCTCTTGTTGCTAAGTGTAGATTGCCCCGCCCTGTGTCATTATGCAGGGAGGAGGGATTGTTCCCTGAGTGTATGAAAAGCCAGTTCGAGTTTCAAATAAAGAGCTCCATGTTCAGACAGACCGGTGTCACCTAGTCTTGTATGGTCGGCTGTGGTGTCTGGGGTCGGTGTTCGGATGGGGAAGCGGTATTCTAACGGAAGTACCCAAGCGCAGTCTGGGGGTCGGTTCTATTACATGTTGTAAACATTTTTTGTTTATATATTCTCTAGGCATAAAGACAAAAAAAAAAAAAAGTGCTAAAAATAGAAAAAAAAACCCAAATGGTTGCATTTTTTTTAAGTGTTACTATGAATAAAAAGTATAAATTTGATTCTATAGTGTGTCCTGACATTGCAAAACTGTTTCTGGTGCAAAGCTTGGCAATTTGCTGATGAATAAAGGCACTTTTTCTTTCTTTTTTTAAATTTTGCAGAATTTTTAATATGACACAAAAAATTAAAAAAATGGATAAAAAATAAAAATTAATTATTAATAATAAAAAAAAGGTTAAAAAATCAGCGGAAAAATAATAGCTAAGGGGATGAAAGAGTAAATTAGGAGTGATTCGGGTTAATAAGGGGTTAAATGGGAATGCAAGTTAAAAAAAAATCTTTTTTTTTTTTTTTTCTTTTTACTTGTAGCATTTCTTTAACCGATGTTATATAGAGAGATAAAATGTCACAGCATTGATCTTAGTAGGAATGAAATAGTAAAAACAATGTAACAATAGATTGTTACAATGTATTAGTCAATGACATTTGCAGGTGTCATTATAGACAGGCTTGGCTGCATTTTGGCAGCTGCTGCTCCATTGTAATACAAAGCATCTCGGATTGATAGGCCGCAGTGTTACTAAACCCCCCGCAGTACAATCAGTCTGTAGATGCAGTAAAGCATGCTTGTTATACTCACTGTGGAACCTAAGGGGTTCATCCTCTGCATTGTACAAAAAGGCTGTTTGATCCTGTCTGCTCTGATCCTCCCCTTCTACTGTCCCCAATCCATCTGCTGATAGTACAGAGCTCTAGGAGTCACTCTGCACATGCTCAGTTTAGTGTGTATGGTTAGAGAGTTCTTTTTTCCTTTGGGAGAGTGCATGTGATCAGCACAGGGCCAATCAGTGCTGTCCAGACAGAGGGTCAGGGGTCATGCAGCCTCATAGGTCAGTCAGAGCAGAATGAAAACTCCTCCTACAAGCTTTAATCCATGCTCTGCTGGCCACTGATAGAAGTCGCGCGACTGCTATATATTGCTGATGAGAAAAGGTATTTAGCAGTTTATATTTACTAAAATAATTGCATTTCCATGTTCTGTGTGAGACCAGATATAGTGAATGCGGGGTCCGGGGGGGGGGGGGGGGGAGAGCGGATATAGTGAATGCGGGGTCCGGGGAGGGCGGATATAGTGAATGAGGGGTCTGGGGAGACCAGATATAGTGAATGCAGGGTCCGGGGAGAGCGGATATAGTGAATGCAGGGTCCGCGGAGAGCGGATATAGTGAATGCGGGGTCCGGGGAGAGCGGATATAGTGAATGCGAGGTCCGGGGAGAGCGGATATAGTGAATACGGGGTCCGGGGAGAGCGGATATAGTGAATGCGGGGTCCGGGGAGATATAGTGAATGCGGGGTCCGGGGAGAGCGGATATAGTGAATTCGAGGTCCGGGGAGAGCGGATATAGTGAATACGGGTCCCGGGAGAGCGGATATAGTGAATGCGGGGTCCGGGGAGAGCGGATATAGTGAATGCGGGGTCCGGGGAGAGCGGATATAGTGAATGCGGGGTCCGGGGGAGAGCGGATATAGTGAATGCGGGGTCCGGGGAGAGCGGATATAGTGAATGCGGGGTCCGGGGAGAGCGGATATAGTGAATGCGGGGTCCGGGGGAGAGCGGATATAGTGAATGCGGGGCGGAGCGGATATAGTGAATGCGGGGTCCGGGGAGAGCGGATATAGTGAATGCGGGGTCCGGGGGAGAGCGGATATAGTGAATGCGGGGTCCGGGGAGAGCGGATATAGTGAATGCGGGGTCCGGGGAGAGCGGATATAGTGAATGCGGGGATATAGTGAATGCGGGGTCCGGATATAGTGAATGCGGGGTCGGAGGGAGCGGATATATATAGTGAATGCGGGGTCCGGAGGGAGCGGATATAGTGAATGCGGGGTCCGGGGAGAGAGGATATAGTGAATGCGGGGTCCGGGGAGAGCGGATATAGTGAATGCGGGGTCCGGGAGGGAGCGGATATAGTGAATGCGGGGTCCGGGGAGAGCGGATATAGTGAATGCGGGGTCCGGGGGAGAGCGGATATAGTGAATGCGGGGTCCGGGGAGAGCGGATATAGTGAATGCGGGGTCCGGGGAGAGCGGATATAGTGAATGCGGGGTCCGGGGAGAGCGGATATAGTGAATGCGGGGTCCGGGGAGAGCGGATATAGTGAATGCGGGGTCCGGGGGAGAGCGGATATAGTGAATGCGGTGTCCGGGGAGAGCGGATATAGTGAATGCGGTGTCCGGGGAGAGCGGATATAGTGAATGCGGGGTCCGGGGAGAGCGGATATAGTGAATGCGGGGTCCGGGGAGAGCGGATATAGTGAATGCGGGGTCCGGGGAGAGCGGATATAGGGAATGCGGGGTCCGGGGAGAGCGGATATAGGGAATGCGGGGTCCGGGGAGAGCGGATATAGGGAATGCGGGGTCCGGGGTTTAATATTGGTGGCAGAAGGTCAGCTGAATATAGGAGATACGGCCTACAAAACTTTGTTTAAGTTTTTTTAAGACATCCAGTATCTCCTACATTTAAAGTTCTCAGATGGATAAAGTCCAGCTCCACTCAGACATACAGTGAAGAGGGTCTTTGTTAGGTTCTGTGTCCCCCTTGGGGATATTTCCCCCACACCTCCAACCCCGATTGCATCACATGACTTATTCCAAGATGGAGGATCTGTGGTTGATGATGACATGTGGGTAGGGGCAGTTTGAAGGAGAAATCTGGTGATACAATTGCCTTCCTGTCCTAGTGACACCCTCTTCCCCTATTTCTAGTCTTGGTGTCACAGGATGTGAATCTCTGCCTTCCCATTGTGTTCTATAGAATCCACGTCAGTACATTGTACAGATAATGAGTGGGACTGATTCCGGCACGTCTAGAGGGGTCCTCACTGCACCGTCTTGTGTTTGTCTTCCAGTATTTCATCTATGAAGCCGTGTTCAATAGTACCATGGTGCACTCCCTACCTGTCCTCATTAACACCATCAGTAACACTCTGCTGAGACAGCTGCATGTCAACGAGAGCATCCAAGTGTGGAGCAGCCCTTTCCCCAAGGTGAGAGCTCATTCCAGTGCGACGCACCTCAACCGGAGCCTTTTAAAGGGTCTTTCCTCCAAAAAGTGGTATTTTTGTTACAGGTGGAGCCTGGTGAGCTGTGTAGTAGTGTCGGGCTTGATGTTCGGGTGAGGGGCGGAGTTACCATTTGAGCACCCGGGCACTGCTCGAGGGCCCGTGGTCAGTAGAGGGCCCCATGAAATGCCCCAGTACCTTTTTTTTATAGGCTTTTTTGGGTGTGCTTTGAGTGTAGGCAAGGACACAGGGGCCCCATGATGCCCTATTGCCCGGGGGCCCCATGAGTTGTCAGCCCACCCCTGCCCTGGTACCTTTCATTGTTTTTTTCATAGGCTTTTTTTAGTGTGGGCGAGGACACGGGGGCCCCATGATCCCCTATTGCCCTGGGGGGGCCCCATGAGTTGTCAGCCCGCCCCTGCCCTGGTACCTTTCATTGTTTATTTCATAGGCTTTTTTTGGGTGTGGGCGAGGACACTGGGGCCCCATGATCCCCTATTGCCCAGGGGCCCCATGAGTTGTCAGTAAGCCCCTGGTTCGGGTCCAACATAAATTCGACTCAAACATCGGTCATCCATGTGTTCGGCGAACACACGATCGGTAAGGGCGTTCGGTGGGCTATTCGCCTGCTGCACCCCACAATGCATTGTGCCCTGGCAGTGCATTGTGATTGGCCAAAGCAATGCGCTTGACCACAGGTCAGGTCAGGTGCAATACCTTAGCCAATCACAGCACAATTGTACCCCTCCCACCCCCATGTGATGCCATTGGCTGGGGCATGCTGGGTCAATGATGTCACAAAGGGGCGGGGTCACCCGGTTGATGTCACTGGGTGGCCCTGCCCCTTAGATGTTTACAAACGTTCAGGCAGGAGCCAGCGTCCAGAGCGCAGCCTTTTTTCTTTTTTCGGGCCGGTGATGGCGGCGGGCATCGTGATTGATGTTGGATGTACTTTTGGGGACATTTTTTAAAATTTTTGTTGTTTTAATAAAATACTTGTCAAAGGCTGTCTCTTTTTTTTTGTGAATGGGTAGTGGTACCATGTACCCCATACTCATTCACATGGGGGGGGCAAGATATGAGGGCTATCTTGTTAAAGGGGGGTTCCAGATTTCGATAAGCCCCCCCCCGCCTGCAGACCCCAACAACCACAGGCCAGGGTTGGGGGGAAGAGGCCCTTGTCCTCATCAACATGGGAACAAAGTGCTTTGGGGTGGAGCCCCCCAGCCCCAAAGAAACCCCCCCATGTTGAGGGCACGTGGCCTGGTTATGGTTCAGGAGGTGGGGGTTGCTTGTTCACCCCCCTCCCTTTCCTAACCTGCCGGGCTGCATGCTTGGATAAAGGTCTGGTATGGACCAAAATCTAAAAAAAATAAAATGGCGTGGGGGTATCCCCCAAAATCCACACCCTTTTCCGAGCATTCAGCCCAGCACGTTAGGAAAGGGGGGGGTGAATGAGCACCCCCCCTCCTGTTTAATACCTGGCCACATGCCCTCAATATGTGGGGGTGCTTTGGGGCCGATAAGACCCCCTAAATGTGGCCAATGGTTGTGGGGGTCAGCAGACGGAATCTGGAAGCCCCCTTTTAACAAGAGAGTCCCCAAATCCTGCCCCCCCGTAAATGAGTATGGGGTACGTGGTACCACTGCTCATTGACATTAAAAAAAAAGTGTAAAAAATGACAGATAAGGGTCTGGTATGGATTTGGGGGGGGGGGGGACCCCCATGCCATTTTTTTTTATTTTGGTGTGGGGCTTCCCCTCAAAATTCATATCAGACCCGAAGGACGTTTTTTTGCTACATTTTTAATTGCCGGCAATTCTTTTTACATTCAGCTGTCAGTGGGGAACCCCGCTGACAGCAGAAACATTAAAGCTTGGGTTTCACTACTAAAATACCACATGACTAAATAACATGTTTTAGTAAATGCCGAGGTTTTTTTTGGAAAAATGCTGTGTGTGATCTTACCACATACCCGGATGGCGTAAGATACCGCTTAGTGAATTGGGACAATTTCTTTTTTGGGACAATTTAGACCATGTTTCTGCTGTCAGCGGGGTTCCCCACTGACAACTGAATGTAAAAAGAATTGCCGGCAATGAAAAAAGTAGCAAAAAAAAACCATCCTCCGGGTCTGGTATGAATTTTGAGGGAACCTCCATGCCAAAATAAAAACAAACCGGGACGGTTCGAAGTTCACGGTTCAAAGTTCACGGTTGAACGTTCATTAGGTTCAAATGTTCAACCACAAACCAAACGGGGGGGGGGGGGGGGGCGTTCGGCCTATCACTGCTGAGTGGCCAAAATCAAAAGCTCCCTGCCATAATTTGTGGCTCTACTTCTGTCCACCTGCTTTGGATGATCCCGCCTTTGTGTGTCCAAGCTCCCTCGTTAGGAGACCTCTAAAAAAATCCATGGATGGTGGGAATGCCAGATAGTTGGCACAGCAGTTGGGCCCATCCAGGAACTCACAGATAGAAGTACATGAGTCAAGAAATGACTCCTCCCCTTAAACTTCCCCCTCCTCTGTTCAGAGGGCCTTGTAGAGCATCAGTCAGAGAGAGACAGTCTGAAGGTAGGCAGCACCTGCCAGGTCTTCTCTTTAGAAACCCAACAATGGAGCTTCACCTCGGAGGGTTTGTATGACCATGGAGCTCAGCAATGAAAAGGTTACTATTCTCTCCATGAAATAAGCCCCGTGTGCATGTATTGGAGAGAGGGAGTTTCTCCCGTCCATCAGAGCCAATCACACCCAATAATTGTATCCTTTATGTCTTCAGGAATACCTGGATGTATCATTCAAGATCACTCTGTACTTCCTGGTCATTTATCTGGGAATTTTAGCTGCTGGGATGTTGCCTTATTTTGCCATGGAGAACATCTACAACCACAAGGTAAGTGCAGGAACGCCGTACATCCAGCGTTCACCCCCAACAGACCCTCCATGCCATGCTGCCCACAGCCTGGGGGGTGACGTTGCTCCTTCAGTAGGTGTACACAGGGCTGGCTTGGTGGACAAGATGCCAATTTCCCACCATTCTCCATCTCCAGAAACAGTAGAGAAGGCATGCTCACCCTTACTCACCTTACGTCTTGGGTCGTGAATAAGGGGGTACCACCGGTCCTCCTGTAAGGGGCCCTGGCCAGCAGGGGGGCTCAGGCAACTGGGTGAATCCAATGTGGGCAGGGAGGGTGATCGGCATGGCAGGGGTGCAGTTACTGGAACCGATCCCCTGTATGGCTCTCTCTGCCGCAGCTGAAAGCCGGCTTCTTCTCCTCCCCCTCCCGCTGGGTTTCAGCTGCGGCATAGAGAGCCAAACAGGGGATTGGTTCCAGTAATTTCCCCCCATCACTCTCCCTGTGCACCAATCATTTCTCAATGCTGCCCAAGCCCCCCTGTGTGACCTCCCCCTCAGTGCTGCCGGGTTCCCTCTTCTCCTTCCCACCGGCAGCTGGAAGCACACAATAGGATCCTTCAGGATGGAGACTGGGGGAGGGGTCCGGTAAATATGTCACATGTACCAGCCCCTTCCTTTCATGAATGAACACAATGAGTGATCAGTACTCACTGTGTTCATTCATAAGTGAAGCATAGTAAACTGTGTTCATTTGAAGGGCTCCTCTCAGGTTGACTGTACGGGGCCCCATGGTTTCTATGTCCAATCACATGCCACTCCCAAGCGAAGAGAATTGACCGGTAGTTTGGGTATGAAGAGCATGTGACTCTGCCTGGAGAGGCCGTCCCATAATGCAGTGCTCAGAACCAATTGCCAGACTCCAGGACTGTCACATGGGGTCAGAGGGAGCGTCCTTCTCCCCGTGTAAGCTCCAAGCAGAGGGACTTAGAGCTCACAGGAGGTTTTTGCTCCTCAAGACGGCAAACAGAGCGAACAGAAGACGACTAGAAGAGCAATGGAGTCAACCTGTTACTTTTCCCTTATTAAACGATTCAGCCAAATAAAATGTAGCGACTCCATCCTAATCGGGGGAGGGAAAACCCCCAGTGCAGGGGCGGGCTGACATTACTCCAGGGCGGATCCATGGCCGCAGTGGAGGAATGCAACAGCACCAGTCACTTTAGTTGTTTCCAAGTTTTTTTTAGACATGCGCAGAACAAAAAAAATGTGTTTCTTTTTTTTTTCAGATCGATTCAATAATGCAGGCCATACGTGGATCAAATTCCAAACGAATTTTCTTTAGAAAATCAGAAATTTCATGCATTTTGTAATCGGACGGCGCCACCATTTGTTTTTGAAATTGAACCACCCAAGCCTTCAATTTCACCCCATGTTGCTACAGAAAAGAATTTTCGTGGCCAAGAATTTTCTTTTCTTTCCAGATCACGGCCCACGCTCATTTCTTTTTTTTCATTTATATTTCTGGCACGATTCTCCCATCGTTGATTTGAAAGTCATTCAGTTTTCCACTTTTGATTTTAAATTCTAAATGAACCGCACATGTCTAGTGTTTATTCCGGCAGCTCGCATAGAGAGAGGGTTAGGGCTTGAGATACCTCCAGCACATGGATTCCACACTCCGCCACACTCCTCCTCCATCCAAGAGAGGGCAGACTCCTTCACCTTCCAGTAGGACTTCTCTCCCTGGTTCCCCACCTTGAGTGCAGTACACTCCTCGACCAGGCAGGGCAGCTTGAGGATTCTATCTTAGCCCCAAACGGGTTTCTGGCCTAGTCAGCACAGGTCTACTGCACACACCTCCCCAGAACCCCAGGCCACTCCTCAATTATTTATATCCTTCCCCGGCATGCTCCGCTGTCAATAAACCTCCTAGTGGTTGGCCAGAGGGGACATAATTATTCATACATTTTACAGGTTCCTTGCCAATTTCCCCACGTTCCAGTGACCCCCATTGGCAGCAACCCTGAGCTTAGAGTAGAGCCAAGTGGCTGAACCTAATTTTCTAGTCACCTCTGCTTATCCCAGGGTGGCTACATTTCTTGTGATGGGAAGGATGTTTAGTCTCGCCTCCCAACTTCCATTTCCTAATGTTTTTTTTTTTTTTTGTTGTATCTGTTGATACCTGAAGTCTATATCCATTGTACACCAGCAGTTGGTGGATCGATATTACTTGTCCATCTCATTCCCTACACCAGGTGAAGTCCTACACCCAGCTGAAGATGTCGGGACTCTACCAGTCTGCTTATTGGGTCGGACAAGCTTCGGTGGACATGATTTTTTTTCTGCTGATCCTCTCCATCATGCTGGGAATTTTGTTCATCTGCAATAAGGGAATTTCACTTTATGCCGGGACCTTCGTCACCTTGGTGAGCTTCCGTATTTCTCGTCCTCTTGGCTGTACGTCTCCTTTAAACCTCCCTCTCCTGAGCGCAGAAGAATTGCAATCTGGAGAGGAATGTTTTGGCCAAAAAACGCCAAATGCGGCTAAAACCCATGGCTAGGCGCTTGCGGCGTTTAGCGCTTGGGCAATAATTAATTTAATTAGCAAGTTCTCTGGCCAAGGAAATGAATAAACCTCCAAGCACTAAATGCGGTATCGTGTTTTTGCCATGTGTGGCATTTTTCTGAGTTACTGTAGAGTCACCATCTACGGCAGTTCCAGGGGACACGTAATAGTAAACCAACAGGTTGCGCCTAAACTCCAATGTGAACCAAATATAATTAGTGACCAAAAATATTAAATATAAAATATAAAAGTCCAAATAGTAATATTGTGTTGCAGAGAAGAAAAACTTCTTAGTGTCCAACAAATTTCACCGTGTGCCAATCCACCACCAAATAAGTCACAAGTGACATCTTGCTTACTACTTTGCATGTGATCACTGATTGGCTAATCACTGATCACATGATCGGGACCTCGTACAGAGGTCCCGTCCGACGATCGGTGTTTCACTGTGTCTGGAGGACACAGCGGGCCCTGGATCGTGGTGCTGCGTGTTCCCAGGGAGCGCACAAAAGCAGGGTGCAGGGAGGCCATTTATAAATGGCCACCCGACCCTGCAGTGCCACCGTCCAGCCGTTTATATACAACGACTGGATGGGAGGTGGTTAAAGGAGTGGATCTATATTGCCGAGTATTCCCTGCAGAGTATTGCTCCTTGAATATACGGATACTAGCTTCAGTGCTGTTTCATCCTCCCGCAGAGTATTGCTCCCAGAGCAGAACGCGCTTATTCTGATTTATAATTTGATCAGCATATTGCTCTGGTGAGTTCATTTAGTTCATTTAGTGGGGGGTTGGCACATGATGAAATTTGTTGGACACTAAGAAGTTTTTCTTCACTGCAACACAATATTACTATTTGGACTTCATATTTTATATTTAATATTTTTGGTCACTAATTTAATTTGGTTCACATTGGAGTTTAAGCGCACCCTGTTGGTGTACTATTATATAAGTTAGGTTTGCAGCTGTGATTTTTATATTTTTTTATGTTTTTCACTTTATTGTTGTTTTTTTTTTTTCGTGACGCTATCCAAAAATATTTCCAGGGTACACGTAGCCGAAGGTTGTCCTAGGGATTTCTCCTTTCCATTTCAGTTTGATTGCAATTTTCCTTTTATTTCAATAGACTTTATTTAAGCTGTCATTAATTCTATACCATAGACAGGAATGTTGGTGCTGCCTAAAATTATATGTGGGAATCGGAAAACAATTTCATGAACCGAAGGCACCTGCGATCAATACAGGCCCAGTTTAGAGATCGCTATTGACCGAGTTCTGGCAGTCGATTAAACTCCTACATACATTTTAGTTTCTGGTGATTAATTTTCGATCATTTATGCAATTGCTGGTAAATTGTACTGTATGTGAATGAAATAAACTAAGATTTACCATGTCTGTGGCCAGCAAAAGCAAAAAACTATGACAATAGGGCAGCCAAAAAGAGTCCGCCCACGAGGGGCGAGTTGTGTCCCTCAAAGAATATTGGAGAAAAGGAATTTATTGTGAGTCAAGCAATGCTTTCTATTTCAGGTCTTCTGTATGATCGGCTACATTCCCGCGACGGTGCTGCTAACCTATGTGGCTTCTTTTACGTACAAAGTCATCAGTGACACCCGGCAGTGGTGGTCCATTTTCTTTTCTATGGTATGTACAATGTGCGATGGCTAGGTGCCTTCAAGGGAATAAATATTTTCAATCATTTTTAAGATCAATCATTTTCAATATTTTCAATCATTTTTAGGTTAAAGAAGATCAATCATTTTCAAGCGAATAAATATTTTCAATCATTTTTAAGATCAATGAGGATCAATCATTTTCAATATTTTCAATCATTTTTAAGATCAATGAAGATCAATCATTTTCAATATTTTCAATCATTTTTAAGATCAATGAAGATCAATCATTTTCAATATTTTCAATCATTTTTAAGATCAATGAAGATCAATCATTTTCAATATTTTTAATCATTTTTAAGATCAATGAAGATCAATCATTTTCAAGGGAATAAATATTTTCAATCATTTTTAAGATCAATCATTTTCAATATTTTCAATCATTTTTAAGATCAATGAAGATCAATAATTTTCAAGGGAATAAATATTTTCAATAATTTTTAAGATCAATCATTTTCAATATTTTCGATCATTTTTAAGATCAGTGAAGATCAATAATTTTCAATATTTTCAATCATTTTTAAGATAAATGAAGATCAATCATTTTCAATATTTTCAATCATTTTTAAGATCAATGAAGATCAATCATTTTCAATATTTTCAATCATTTTTAAGATCAATGAAGATCAATCATTTTCAAGGGAATAAATATTTTCAATAATTTTTAAGATCAATCATTTTCAATATTTTCGATCATTTTTAAGATCAATGACGATCAATCATTTTCAATATTTTCAATCATTTTTAAGATCAATGACGATCAATCATTTTCAATATTTTCAATCATTTTTAAGATCAAAGAAGATCAATCATTTTCAAGGGAATAAATATTTTCAGTCATTTTTAAGATCAACGAAGATCAATTATTTTCAAGGGATTGTAAGCTCAAAAGAGCAGGGCCCTCGAACCCCTCGTGTGTTGTATTGTTACTGTCTTGTCTCATGTTCTGTCGTTCCCCCCCGCTACTGTACAGCGCTGAGCATACCCTTTGGCGCTATATAAATACTGTATAATAATAATAATTTACAATCATTTTTAAGTGATCAGCTAGATTTTAATAATGTTGCCAGACTGTGTTAGGCCCCTTTCACCCGAGCGTTCCGTATGTCTGTTTTTCTTCTGTCCATTTACGGATGAAAAACGAACACCCATGTATTTCTATGGACGAGAGGATGATCATCTTTTTACATTCATTAATGTCTGCATTTGTTAACATCCGGGTTTTTTTGAAAGGAAGAAAACCCTATTTTTCTTCTGCCAAAAAACCCCAGAACGGACGAAAAACAGATGTCAATGGATGAAAACGGATGTAAACGGACCAAAAAAGGATGTAAACAGACTGAAAAACAGATGTAAGTCGATGTTAAATGGATAAAAACACGGATGAAAAAACGGATGTAAACTCATCCATTTTTTTCTATGAAAAAACATGACTGAACTGATGAGAAAAAACCGGAACGCCCGTGTGAATGGGACCCGTAATGGTTTTTTTTTTTATTGTATCTTTGCACAGAGTGTAATTATTCTGTATATGGACATGGGGCAAACCATATCTGCTCATTACTCAGGATCTGCTTCCTGCTTGGCAGCTTTTACTGCCTTTATTTTGGAAGCAGGTTACAATGGATTCTCTTTGGTGGCCGGTGAAGCCAAGTGGTGGCCATTTGATTCATTCCATTGTTAATAAAAAAAATAAATATTTTTCCTATGTGAATTATTGATGAAAGTGATTCTGTGTTTTCTACAGGAGGTCTAAATAAAGTGACTGTCTGTGAGATGTATCAAAGAAAACAAAATGTAAAAAAAAAAAAGGAGTTGTAGACTCAACGCCACTAATCTTGTCAAGAAAAGAGGGAAGGTGTGTCTAAAGATAAACTGCCAAATATTGAAAGCCAAGATATTCTTTAACCTAATTATTGAAATATTAACAAATGTACACAATATATAGGTAAAAATCGACTTTGGGCAAGTATTTAACATGAAAATGTTAAATTAACATTTTTAAACTGAATTTTGTTAAAAATGGACTTTGGGCAAGTGTTTAAAATTAAAATGTCTAAATATATAGACTGGCAAGTATTAGAATCGAAGGCATTCTATAATTTAATGATGCAAATAGCAATAGAGGTACATAAATTCAGTTTACAATGTTTCATTTCACATTTTAATTTTAAACACTTGCCCAAAGTAAATTTTTAACAAAATTCAGTTTAAAAATTTTAATTTAAAATTTTAATGTTAAATACTTGCCCAAAGTCAATTTTTACCTATATATTGTGTACATTTATTGATATTTCGATAATTAGGTAAAAGAATATCTTGGCTTCTAATATTTGACAGTTTATATTTAGGTACACCTTCCCACCTCAATGGTTAGTGATGTTGAGTCTACAACTCTTTTTTTTTTTTTACATTTTATTTTTGCTGATAGATTTCACGTACCGAGGATTTCCACACTATATATAAGAACATTTAGAAAAAGGCTAAGGTTGGGACTGTAAAGGAACTTTTGGGATAAATACCTGTTTGTGAGGTGCCCACACATATTGAACCTACCTACCTGGATACTTGGGACACTCACTTACTGGCAGTGTAAAATCATCCTGCCCCTTCCTGTTTCCATACATTCCTATTGGCCAGTCAGACAGCCAAACAAAGTGATGGGCCAGTAGGAGTGTGGGGACAGAAAGGAGCAGGAAAGCTCTGGAATTGTCATAGCTTTGATGATGGAAATAGTCCAGCTTTTGGGCATCTGAGGAGTATAAAAAACTCGGTGAAGGTGCATCTAGTTGCCCAAACTTTCTACCTACCGTACTAGAAGTAATAATTTAATTTATTTTTAGGTTTGAAATGCTTTGGTTACAGTTCAGGTAATTCTCGTTATAAATGATAGTATATTTTTGCCTCATTAGTCACTTTCCTTTCCTTCTTCTCCATCCTTCAGATGTGTCTGATCACCATCACCGCGGTTGAGCTTGCCTCGGTTATTGGGAACGATTTGATATTTACCATCTGCCACGACCTGTTCTCCTTATTTATCCCCATCTACCCACTGATTGGCTGTTTGATCTGTTTCCTAAAGGTAAGAATGGGGTGGGGGTAGGTGGGTTTGGCTCTTCTGATTCTTCAGATCTCAACATTTATTTGATGATCGGCAGACAGTTCCTCACCAGAGCTATCCTACAGAGCCCAATGAAAAAAGATCTCTCTGTGACTTCATTGGTTGATGGTTCCTCCATAAATTAGCCATAAGGTTGGCGGGATGCTTCCTAGCCACCAATCCTCCCATCACCCTTTATCAGCTGTTGTGGACTAGGATCGGGTTTGGGGCTAATGGCTGTATCCGGCAGATACTCCTAGCAGATGACACGGGTTCATCTAAACTTTGCATGGGTGCCCTCCAGCTGTTGAGTCCCATCATGCCTCTGCCTTTGGGAGTCATGCTTGTAACTGTCAATCTTGCAATGCCTCATGGGACTTGTAGTTTTGGCAACAGCTGGAGGCTCTTCTGATTCTTCGGAACTCAACATTTATTTGATGATCTGCAGACGGTTCCTCACCAGAGCCATCCTACAGAGCCCGATGGAAAAAGATTGGATATGCTGAAGTCTGGTGTGACTTCATTGTTTGTGGGTGCCTCCATAAGTTTAGCCATAAGGTTGGCGGGATGCTTCCTAGCCACCAGTCCTCCCATCACCCTTTATCAGCTGTCGTGGACTAGGATCAGGTTTGGGGCCAATGGATGTAGCAGTAGAAAGGTTCACGCATAGTTGGCAGGATATATACCGGCAGATACTCCTAGCAGATGACACGGTTCATCTAAACTTTGCAGGGGTGCCAAGCTGGCGGCCCTCCATCTGTTGAGAAACTACAAGTCCCTTCATGCCTCTGCCTTTGAGAGTCATGCTTGTAACTGTCAATCTTGCAATGCCTCATGTGACTTGTAGTTTGGCAACAGCTAGTGGGCCACCAGTTCGACACCAGTGATAAGGTGTGGTGTCCAAGTACTAGCAGGTATTCCCCAGCTCTAACAATGGTGGAGATGGGTTGTGCTGTATGTTAGTACCAGGTTGTGGTCCTCAAGATCGCCCCACCAGGAGGTGAGCAAGCTGGGGCCCAGTACTAGCAGGTATTCCCCAGCTCTACCAATGGTGGAGTTGGGGTTTGCTGCATGTTAGTACCAGGTTGTGGTCCTCAGGATCGCCCCACCAGTAGGTGAGCAAGCTGGGGTCCAGTACTAGCAGGTATTCACTGGAGCTACCGATGGTGGAGATGGGTTTTGCTGCATGTTATTACCAGGCTGTGGTCTTCAGGATCGCCCCACCAGTAGGTGAGCAAGCTGGGGTCCAGTACTAGCAGGTATTCACCAGCTCTACCAAAGGTGGAGATGGGTTTTGCTGCATGTTAGTACCAGGTTGTGGTCCTCAGGATCGCCCTACCAGTAGGTGAGCAAGCTGGGGTCCAGTACTAGCAGGTATTCACCAGAGCTACCGATGGTGGAGATGGGTTTTGCTGCATGTTAGTAACAGGTTGTGGTCCTCAGGATCGCCCCACCAGGAGGTGAGCAAGCTGGGGTCCAGTAGCAAGTAGGGATCAAGCCAGAAACATAGCCAGTAAACAAGCCAAAGGCTGGTAACACGTAGTAGTAGGTTTGGTTCAAACAGGAGCATAGTTATGAACAAGCCAAGGGTTGATAAGGATTGGTAGCAAAGGTAAGGGCAGCAGCAGGAATGCAAGGCGCAAGATATTGGCACAATAATCTGACAAACCAGGAAGTGCAGACATGGCTTACTGTGAATCAGGAAGTTCATTGTAGGAGCAAAGGGTTCAAGGTTCAGTAGAAACAAGACACAAACAAGATTGTCAAAGGAATCAAGCAGGGAGATGTCCAGCATCCCTGGTGGTACAGCGAGAAGAACCATAGGCAGAGGTTCAGACCTGGATCCAGACATCAGCCTTCAACGTCACTAAGATGCCGCTCTTACAATTTTGTTTAATTACAATATTCTTTATTCCAGAAGAGGCATCATATACTGTAGCTCTACAATAACCTTCCTGCTCACAATTTATTCAGTAACGGCTGTAGTTCCTCTTTGGTGTGGCTGGCAAAACCCAAACCTGGGGCCTAAAATATGTACAACCTTGGCCTTGTGTTCCATGGATGGAGAGATAACGGGATGGGTCATAGGTATATTCAACTATATGCACATGGCCCTGTGATTATATACGGGTGGCATTTGTCTGTAGGTTGTTTTAGAGTCTAATAAAGTTTTTTGACGTTTTTTATACAGCGCCCCCACATGTACATCATTATATTGGGTTTATTTCATACTGGGAGGTCTGGATCAGCCTCATATAGAGGTCTGTGCAGGGTAAGAGTCCTCAGTTACTTCTACCTGGAGGTCATTGACTCACTACTTTCATATTTGTGAATTTATTGCAATCTTCTCCCCGTTCAGAGGAGGTCTTCCAATCTCCGGCTTCCTTTGCGGCTCTGGAATGTCATGTGACCAACAGCCCCAAAGAAAACACAATGGTAGATCCAGGGAATATCCGATTGCCTCTCGGGGGGATCAGGAAGGAATTTTGTCCCCCTGCAGGAGCAAATTGGATCGTGCTTTGCTGGGGGTTTTTTTTTGCCTTCCTCTGGATCAACTGTGGGTGTAGTGTGTTACCAATTGTTTTCTTGGTGACTGTGGTCCCAGCTGCCTGGAGATCATTGACAAGATCCTCACATGTAGTTCTGGGATGATTCCTCACTGTTCTCATGATCATTGACACTCCACGAGGTGAGATCTTGCATGGTGCACCAGACCTAGGGAGTCTGACACTTGTTTTGTGTTTCTTCCATTTGTGAATGATTGCACCAACTGTTGTCACCTTCTCACCAAGCTGCTTGGCCATAGTTTGGTAGCCCAGTCCAGCCTTGTGTAGGTCTACAATCTTGTCCCTGACATCCTTGGACAGCTCTTTGGTCTTTGCCATGGTGGAGAGTTTGGAATCTGATGGTTTGATGGCTCCTGTGGACAGGTGTCTTTTATACAGGTAACACAATGAGATTAGCAGCACTCCCTTTAAGAGACTGCTTCTAATCTCAGCTTGTTACCTGTATGAGAGACACCTGTTAGCCAGAAATCCTGCTGAATGATAGGGGATCAAATCCTTCTTTCCCTCATGAACATGCAGATCAGTCATCATTTGTTAGACGCATTTATGCTGAAATTGTTGTTGTATTCTGTCTCTCAGTGTTACAATACACCGAACATTCGATTTTCAGACCGATCATTTCTGTGTGAGGGGCGAACATTCAGCATCAGCAGGGGAGCAAATACGCATTTCCTTCACTGTAATGTAACTAGATGTGAAAAGGAGCATCACAGTAAACCCCACTTTTGACCTTGGCCACCAATCACTGTGGGCCCACGTCTCGTTATGCATGGTTTCCTTGCCCCCCACCATGACAGGGCCACTCGGTTGGGTTTGCCCCCCTCAGGCCAAAGCTTTCCAGTCTTCTCCAAGTACACCAGCATGGCTCTCCTCAGGACCTACAGAACAGAAGCGGGTGCGCAGCGAGGTTTCCTTGCGTTGTATAACTAACCCTGAAAAGATGACTTCTTCGGCCAGACTAGTCTTTGGTGTTATGAGGGTCAGTGGGGCTCTTTCCCCGCAATCACAGCACCTAATCAGAATTATTTTCTTCTGTTTTAGAAGTCCTGGAAGGTTTCAGGGGATGAAAACAGCTACACACAGCTTGGCCGGGTGCTGGTGGCAGTTCTATCTGTAAGCTCTCCTCTTTATGTTTCATGTCTTTAGTGTTGGTTTTGTGACATTTATTATAAAATATTCGGTTGTTTTTTGGCTCATGCTCAGGTCGTATTTTCTAGGTGATATTTCATATCCGTATTGTGGCCACCAGAGGGCAGCAGACCGTTTTCTCTGCTGTTAAAATATACTGAAGCCTGACTACACCTTTTTTTTTTTTGTTTTGGAAATAATTTTTTTTTTGTCTGTGTCTCCATTGGGGGGGGGGGGGGTTCCCTCACTTCCTGCCTGTGACACCCATGAAAGAAATGAGGGGTGCAGTAGTCGCTGTCATCTGTGTTGTGTTTACATGTCCTACAGTCCAGGGGCGGACTGACCATTTGAGCACTCGGGCACTGCCCGAGGGCCCGGGGTCAGTAGGGGGCCCCATGAAATGCCCCTGGTACCTTTTTATAGACTTTTTTGGGTGTGCTTTGAGTGTGGGCAAGGACACAGGGGCCCCATGATCCCCTATTGGCCCCGTGAGTTGTCAGTCCACCCCTGCTACAGTCTGTCCTAGATATATACCCACATTTGTTCTGTATGACGATTCTTCTATTTCTACAGCCGTACATACAATGCGTGATCCTTCTGCTTCTCCTGCGCCACCTAGAGGTAAAGAATGGAGGAAAATCGATCAGGAAAGATCCCTTGTTCAGGTAGAATGCAATTTTTTTTTTTTTTGCTCGGGAATTAATTGGCGCAGAGCACAGTTTACAAAGATCACAAATGGGGGGCGCTGTGACTCCTGGCACTACCCCCTTTCTCCATTAACCTATTAGGGACACCTGATGTAAAGGGGGACTCTATTGAGGATACCTAATGTAAAGGGGGACTCTGCTGGGGACACCTATTGTAAAGAGGGACTCTGCTGGGGACACCTGATGTAAAGGGGGACTCTGTTGGCGACACCTGATGTAAAGGGGACTCATTGGGGACACCTGACATAAAAGACTCTATTGGGGACACCTAATGTAAAGGGGGACTCTACTGAAGATACCTGATGTAAAGGAGGACTTTACTGGTGACACCCATTATAAAGGGGGACTCTGTTGGGGACACCTGATGTAATGGGGGACTCTACTGAGGATACTTGATGTAAAGGGGGACTCTGCTGGGGACACCTATTGTAAACGGGGACTCTGTTGGGGACACCTGATGTAAAGTGGGGACTCTACTGGGGACACTAATGCACAGGGGGTCTCTACTGGGAACACCTAATGTAAAGAGGACTCATTGAGGACACCCGATGTTATAGGGGAGTCTACTGGAGACACCTGATGTAAAGGGGGACTCCACTGGGGACACCTGATGTAAAGGGGGACTCTAATGGGGACACATGATGTAAAGGGGGACTTTAATGGGGACACCTGATATAAAAGGGGACTCTACTGTGGACACCTGATGTAAAGGGGATTTTATTGGAGACACCTGATGTAACGGGGGACTGTACTGGAAACATCTGATGTAAAGGGGGACTCTAATGGGGACACCTGATATAAAGGGGGACTCTACTGTGGACACCCGATGTAAAGGGGATTCTATTGGAGACACCTGATGTAAAGGGGGACTGTACTGGAAACATCTGATGTAAAGGGGGACTCTAATGGGGACACCTGATATAAAGGGGGACTCTACTGGTGACACCTGATGTAGGGGAAACTGTACTGGAAACCTCTGATGTAAAGGGAGACTTTAATGGGGACACCTGATATAAAGGGGGACACTACTGGGGACACCTGATGTAAAGGGGGACACTACTGGGGACACCTGATGTAAAGGGGGACTCTAATGGGGACACCTGATGTAAAGGGGGACTCTAATGGGGACACCTGATGTAAAGGGGGACTCTAATGGGGACACCTGATGTAAAGGGGGACTCTAATGGGGACACCTGATGCAAAGGGGGACTCTACTGGGGACACCTGATGTAAAGGGGGGCGCTAATTGGGACACTTGATATAAAGGGGGACTCTACTGGGGACACTTGATGTAAAGGTGGACTCTACTGGGGACACCTGATGTAAAGGGGGACTGTATTGGAGACACCTGATGTAAAAGCGGGGTCTCTATTAGGGACACCTGATGTGAACGGGGACTTTATTGGGGACTCCACGTGGCAGGGAGGGGGGCGCAATTCCCCATCTTCACCCTGGGCTCTGGATGAGCTTGTCCCAGCACTGGTGTGAATGGTCCCTTATGGTCATAGCACATGAATGTAAAGCAGTCACAAAGGAAAGATTGCAATCAGTGTGCAGTAAATGCGGGAACATGGATGGGTTACACGGGACAGTTACGTGAACCTGAACTTTGCTTCTCTCCTTCCCTTGGCTCCTCCACTACTTTGTTCATGAGTGACGAGAGTACTTCCAAGTATGGGGATCATGTGACCTACTCTCCTTCCACCCACACACTGGTGCTTGGCCACTAGGAGCCCAGTGCTGGCACCTTGGGGGCGGGGCAAGAGCCCTGTGTAAGTTGTAGCTCGGTGACTTTCTGGTGCTTCTTTTTCTTCTTTTCACTCTCAGCAGCCAAACGGAATGCCGGTTCCCTTCTGTCCTTCTGATCTGGGCCTTCAAAGTAATGTCTTTATTCAAAATGGTGGCCAATAAATACGCTTGTTTGTATTTTAAATGAAGATCCGTTTTTGTTTTCTTGGGGCCACAGGACGAAAGACAAGAAAGGAAAAGCATGGAAGTTCACCGAGGTCCCGGAGGACGAAGACGAGGATGTCCGGACAGAAAGGGCGCGGGTTGGCGAGTACATGGCGTCTGACTGCTATGAGGTACGGATGTCCCGGATAGACACCTGAGCAGTAATGGACACAGCTGATCACGTGGTAAAAGGCCACTGTTTACCGTATCACGTGATCACCGGCGGCGCTGGGTGTGCGCCGCTGGGGGCGTGTTCTGGAATGACATCCATGGACGTCGTCCTAGAACTAGAAAAACGTGCTGTAGCCATCTATCGGCTATAACGCGGTAGAGAAGAGTTTAAACGAATCCAAAATAACAAAACTTCGAATTTTGAGTAGAATAAATTGAAATTCGAATAGACCAGACGAGAATAGAAAAGAATACAATAGAAAAGAACAGAATAGGATAGAAAGAATAAAAATAAAATATAACCGTCTTCTGAAATTTTAATTTCAAATAGAATAAAAGCGAATTTGAATAGAATAGAAAATAATAGAATATAACCATCTTCTTAAATTCAAATTTCGAATAGAATAAATTCAAATTCGAATAGACTAGACCAGAATAGAAAAGAATAAAATAGAAAAGAACAGAATAGAAAGGTAAAAAATAAAACATATAACCGTCTTCTGAAATTCAGATTTCGAATAGAATAAAAGCAAATTTGAATAGATTAGAATAGAATAGAAAATAATAGAATAAAGAATAAAATACAACCATCTTCCGAAATTCGAATTTCGAATAGAATAAATTCAAATTTGAATAGACTAGACAAGAATAGAAAAGAATAAAATAGAAAAGTACAGAATAGAAAGGAAAAAAATAAAATATATAACAGTCTTCTGAAATTCAAATTTCGAATAGAATAAAAGTGAACTTGAATAGAATAGAAAATAAAAGAATAGAACAGATTTTAATACTTTTCAAATTCAGAAAATTCGAATCAAATTCGAGAATGGATAAACAAAACAAAATAAATTCCAAAAGCGAATTAAACAAATTTATCGATTTTAACTAAATGAAATTATTTGAATGAGTGGAAAGTAAACGATTATTTCTCATTCTGCACATGTGTAGACAGAGATGGTTCATTATATATATATATATATCAGGGGCGGACTGACCATTTGGGAACTCAGGCACTGCCCGAGGGTCTGGGGTCAGTAGGGGCCCCATGAGATGCCCCTGGTCCTTTCATAGGCTTTTTTGGGTGTGGTTTGAGTGTGGGTGAGGACACAGGGGCCCCATGATCCCCTATTCCCCGGGGGCCCCATGATCCCCTATTGCCCAGGGGCCCCATGATCCCCTATTGCCCGGGGGGCCCCATGAGTTGTCAGTCCATCCCCGATATATAGAGAGAGGTTTATCAAAGTGCCATCCATTGAGGGTTTCACTCTACGTTGACCTTCGTCCTTCCCAGAAACCGGCCATCATGGTGAGCGGATTACACAAGGAGTACAATGAGAAGGGGAAGACCATTGTGGGGAAGACCATGAGGAAGCTGGTGGTCAATAACATCTCCTTCTGTGTCAGGAAAGGTAAGTCGTTCCCCCTCCCCCCATCCAACTCTACGCAGGAAAGGGTTGTCACCATGGTAAACCTGTCTCTGATTCCAGGGGAGATTCTGGGGCTGGTGGGGCCCAATGGATGCGGTAAAAGCACGATCCTGGACATAATGGTGGGACAGACGGGAGCCGAACGCCGGGAAGGTCAGCAAATGTTGGGGTTGTTCATATTCTGTGTTCTGTGGAAGGAGAACCTATCATAGTGCTGCAGAGGAGGGGAGTTAGAGATTTGTCACCAACCTAAAAAATTGAAGAAGAATCCAGAATATTAAATACTTGCAGACTTTTTCCTTTCCTTAGAGCCATCTTCTCTTCTGGGAGTGTCTAATTACTGCCTGTGCTGGCCCAGCTCTTTCCTTCTTACGCGTCATAGCCCTCATCTTTTCTGGGAGTGTCTAATTGCTGTCAACGCTGACCCAGCTCCTCTGCCCTCTCTGCAACTGTTATTTTGCTGTCAGGGGTGGGGTGAAGGAGGATACTATAGAGTGACAGATAAGTGACAGCGGAGTCTCCTGGGGCTGCTGACATCACATCCAAGATAGGGGCCCCCAGCAGCAATCTTGGGGCTACGGACGTTCCACATGGTCCCACTGTATGTATGAATGTTAGCACCCTCTCTTGCTCCCCCAAGATGGACTATGGGACTATGGGGATATGGGACTATGAAACTATGGGGATATGGGACTATGAAACTATGGGACTATGGGGATATGGAACTATAGATTATTAGACTGGGGCTATGGAAGTATGGGACTATGAACTATGCACTATGGGACTCACTTTGGGAAAATGGAACTATAAACTATGAAACAATGGGACTATGGAACTACAGACAATGGGACTATGGAACTATGGGACAATGTGACTTTGGGACTACGTACAGTGGGACTATGGAGCTGTGAACTATGGGACTACGGACTATGGAACTATGGGACTATGGAACTATAGACTATTGGACTGGGGCTATGGAAGTATGGGACTATGGACAATGAAACTATGGAACTATGGACTATGGGGACTCACTCTGGGACAATGGAACTATGAACTATGGAACTACAGACAATGGGACTATGGAGCTGTGAACTTTGGGACTACACACTATGGAACTATGGGAGTATGGAACTCTGGAACTTTGGGACTATGTAGAGTGGGACTATGGAGCTGTGAACTATGGGACTACGGACTATGGAACTATGGGAGTATGGGACTCTGGAACTTTGGGACTATGTAGAGTGGGACTATGGAGCTGTGAACTATGGGACTACGGACTATGGGAGTATGGGACTCTGGAACTTTGGGACTATGAGATTTGTGGTGTGCATAGAGCAGTGCATGTGTGGATGTGTATGGATTATATTTGAATACAGATATTGTTTAGTTTTGCTTTAAGATGCCAGATTCCTGCAGACGTGCAGTCAAGACTGGTGCAGTCAGGACTGGTTCTCTTTAAAGGACAACTCCACATAACGAATATCTCATCTTTGAGCAGGCAGTGATGGGCTCAGTGGCCTGCTGCCTCCTCGTTGCTCCAGCAACTTAGTCTATGTGTATAGGGTAACTCAGAGTCTTCTATTGGGGGGATCAGCATGACAGCCAGGCAGATAGCTTTTTCTGAAGGAGATCCTCAGTGTCACTCCTGACCGGTTCTCTTACATCCTGAGGCCCAATGAAAAGGTTGGTGATGCCGATCTCAGGGCCTGTGTTGAGAGGTATACAATCTATGGACAAGAGATCTCTCTGGTTGAAGGTTGAGGAGAAGGTCAGATGCACCTTCCATGAATCTGAAATGATATCAATGTCTTATACTGATGCCATCTCTATATGTGTGCTTTCAGATCTGGGTTGGAGATCCGGGCCCCTCAGAATCAGGAGAGGGCCCCCTACGATTTGTAGGGTATTCACCTCAAATAAATCATCTGTGGCCAGAGATCAAAGTGCAGGAACACCTGGAGACCTACGGCTCCATCAAAGGCATGAGCCAGAGCAGCCTGAAAGAAGTCATAGACAGGTGAGTTCTATGGGGTCTCATCAGACAATTCATATTATTGAAGGATCCAGGTCTAAGGGAGCCAGAGATCATGAATTCCATGTACAGTGTATTTTCTTAGGGGCCACTCCACTCAAAACTGGGTGGTTGGGAACTCCTCATAATGGGCACAGCAGCAGTACAGACCCTGGAACTTAGCATAGGGATGGTGGGAACCCCTCATAATGGGCACAGCAGGTCTTGAGACCCGGGAACTCAACATAGGGATGGTAGGAACCCCTCATAATAGAAACGGCAGGTGTACAGACCCAGGAACCCAGCACAGGGATGGTGGGAACCCCTCATAATGGGCACAGCGGGTGTACATACCCAGGAACTCAGCACAGGGATGGTGGGAACCCTTCACAATGGGCACAGCAGGTGTACAGACCCAAAAACTCAGAAAAGGGATGGTGGGAACCCCTCATAAAGGGCACAGCGGGTGTACAGACCCTGGAACAAAGCACTGGGATGGTGGGAACCCCTCATAATGGGCACAGCAGGGTGTACAGACCCAGGAACTCAGGACAGGGATGGTGGGAACCCCTCATAATGGGCATAGCGGGGGTACAGACCCGGGAACTCAGCACTGGGATGGTAGGAACCCCTCATAATGGGCACAGCGGGTGTACAGACCTGGGAACTCAGCTACAGTGGGTGGGTGGGCGGAGCTGGGAATTCATCTGCCGGAGTGTGTTAGAGATATAAGAATTTGGGGGGTGGTCTCCCCCATTCTGTGTTCACACACACACACCTGGAGTGGACCGAACCTCTATGTTTGCTGTGATCCTCACTATGACCTTGTTTTCAGAGTAGTAGAAGCTCTGGACATGAGAGAGGACTTGCAGAAGCGTACCAAGAAGCTGTCAGCGGGAGCCCAGAGAAAGGTGACTCCTCCCACTAGATATGCACCTTGTGTTTCCATTCTTCTGTTTCTGGACCTTTTGGATAATGTAATGTCCTTCCTCTTCACGTAGCTGTGTTTTGCCCTGAGCATGCTGGGTAATCCCGACATTGTGCTTCTGGATGAACCTTCCACAGGGATGGACCCTAAAGCCAAACAGCAATTGTGGTGAGGACCTTGGATGTATTATTTACATATTCCCGCACCTTGTATAGAACCATGCCTCAGGCATGTTCTCAGGCTGGAATCATTCATCTGCCAGTCATGTCACAGTAAAGATGCCAAACTGAGGGTTACTCTTCCCACTGATAGCCAATGTAAAGGGACACCTTGCCCACTAAGCCCATAGTTAGCATCATTGTTCCCACTGAACACAAAAGTAAGAGATACTTCACACATTAACCCCAAACTGGAAGCCATTCTTTCTTTTGACTGCCATTGTCAGGAGACACCTTGCCCATTGACCCCAAGTTAAGGGTTAACCTTCACAGTGACCACCAATGGAAGGGGAGACATCTTGCACATTGACTCAAAAGCAAGTGTCAGTCTCCTCATTGGCCACCAATGTAAGGGGGACACCTTCCCCATAAACCCCAACCTAAAAGTTCTTCCTTCCCACACCTCACTCATTGAGCCTAAAGTAAGGGACATTCTTCCCACCACCACCACCGATGTAAGGAACATTCTTCCCACTGACCACCAAGGAAAGGGACATTCCACTGACCCCCAATGTAAGGAGCATTCTTCCACTGACCCCCAATGTAAGGAACATTCTTCCCACTGACCACCAAGGAAAGGGACATTCCACTGACCACCAATGTAAGGAGCATTCTTCCCACTGACCCCCAATGTAAAGGACATTCTTCCCACTGACCACCAATGTAAGGGACATTCTTCCCACTGACCTCCAATGTAAGGGACATTCTTCCCACTGATCACCAATGTAAGGGACATTCTTCCCACTGATCACCAATGTAAGGGACATTCTTCCCACTGACCCCCAATGTAAGGGACATCCTTCCCACTGATCTCCAATGTAAAGGACATTCTTCCACTGACCCCCAATGTAAGGGGCATTCTTCCCACTGACCCCCAATGTAAGGGACATTCTTCCCACTGATCACCAATGTAAGGGACATTCTTCCCACTGATCACCAATGTAAGGGGCATTCTTCCCACTGATCACCAATGTAAGGGACATTCTTCCCACTGATCACCAATGTAAGGGACATTCTTCCCACTGATCACCAAGGAAAGCAACATTCCACTGACCATCAATGTAAGGGACATTCTTCCCACTGACCCCCAATGTAAGGGACATTCTTATCCCTGACCACCAACGTAAAGGACATTCTTCCTACTGACCACCAATGTAAGGGACATTCTTCCCACTGACCACCAACGTAAGAGACATTCTTCCCACTGACCACCAATGTAAGGGGCATTCTTCCCACTGACTACCATTGTAAGGAACATTCTTCCCACTGACCACCAACGTAAGGGACATTCTTCCTACTGACTACCAATGTAAGGGACATTCTTCCCACTGACCACCAATGTAAGGGACATTCTTCCTACTGACTACCATTGTAAGGAACATTCTTCCCACTGATCACCAATGTAATGGACATTCTTCCCACTGATCACCAATGTAAGGGACATCCTTCCCACTGATCACCAATGTAAGGGACATTCTTCCCACTGACCCCCAATGTAAGGGACATTCTTCCCACTGACCCCCAATGTAAGGGACATTCTTCCCACTGACCCCAATGTAAGGGACATTCTTCCCACTGACCCCCAATGTAAGGGACATTCTTCCCACTGACCCCCAATGTAAGGGACATTCTTCCCACTGACCCCCAATGTAAGGGACATTCTTCCCACTGACCACCAATGTAAGGGGTGTTCTTCCCACTGACCACCAATGTAAGGGACATTCTTCCCACTGACCACCAATGTAAGGGACATTCTTCTCACTGACCACCAATGTAAGCGGACACCTTGTCCATTGACCACCAAATCTTTCCCAAGAACCAATAGTTTTTTTTTTTTTTTAATCTGGTGACAGTGGTGAATGGGGAGAAGAATGATGGCAATACTTGTTGTTGGAGGTGCCTAATGCACAGCTGGGTTTGTTATTTTGGTTGGAGACAGGTTTGCTTTATCTAGGTCCTGACCTGTCACTATTAAAGCCAAATTTACACCCATGCAAGGGAAGTCATGACCACACAGTTCTGTATCCCTGGACCATACTCTCGGAAGGGCAGATATAAGAGATCAGGTGACGGTCCAGTGTCATTCTAATCCTACAAGGTGCCTCCTATTGTCCTTTCTCTGATATTCTGTCTTCCCCTTCTATGGTCTCATACAATGTAACATGTTAACAATAAGTCCTGCCGTGTCACGCTTCTCATGTGTCTTCCTTTGTCCAGGAAAGTCATCAGGTCTACATTCAAAGGCAAGGATCAGGCCGCTATCCTCACCACGCATATCATGGAGGAAGCCGAAGCCATCTGTGACCGAGTGGCCATCATGGTTTCAGGACAGCTGAGGTAGGTTGTGTCCTGACATCCCAGAGTCAGACCGTCCGTCCTGCTCTTGGAACTAAGAATCCAACCCTAACCAACATTTTATCATTGGGACCGTTTTAAAGTGTACCTGATGTACTTAGGGTTATGAAGCTCATTTCCACTTTTTTGTGGACTCCTATAATACATGTCTACCTCTTCTCAGATATATCGGCTCAGTGCAGCACCTGAAGAGTAAATTTGGGGCGGCACTACAGTCTAGAGCTGAAGCTGGATGCAGACTCCGGGGTCCAACAAATGGAGATCCTGCACAGGGAGATTCTCAAACACTTCCCCAATGCCTGCCGCCAGGACAGGTATGTCATACAATAAATCTATGTAGTAATAATAGTATATACTGTACATATATTTATTACATGTTGTGTTCAGGCTCATGCATGGTTCTGTATTTGGAAAGTAATCCAAGAACAACAAGGGTGGGTGCCATACAGTGTGTGTTGTATCATTGTAACCAGCTTCCTATAGTCCAGTATCCTTGGTCCCCATGTACCCCCAACAGGTCACATTTTCACGTTTTCCTTCACCTTACACAAGTGCTTTACACTCACCGGCCACTTTATTAGGTCCACCTTGTTAGTCCCGGGTTGGACCCCCTTTTGCCTTCAGGACTGCTTTCATTGGCATCTAGCATAGATTCAACAAGGTGTTGGAAACATTCCTCAGATATTTGGGTCCATATTGACATGAGTTACTGTTGCCTCTCTACCATCTGGAACCAGTCTGCCCATTCTCCTCTGACCTCAACAAGGCATTTTCCTCCACACAACTGCTGCTCACTGGATATTTTCTCTTTTTCGGACCATTCTCAGTAAACCCTAGAGATGGTTGTGTGTGAATATCCCAGGAGATCAGCAGTTTTGGAAATACTCAGACCAGCCCAATTGGCACCAACAACCATTGTTCAAAGTCACTTAAATCTCCTTTCTTCCCCATTCTGATGCTCGGTTTGAACTTCAGCAAGTTGTCTTCACCACATCTAGATTCCTAAATGTATTGAGTTGCTGCCATGTGATTGGATGATTAGCAGTTTGGTGTACCTACTAAAGAGGCCGGTGAGCAGGGGTGGACTGACAACTCATGGGGCCCTCAGGCAGTAAGGGATCACGGGGTCCCTATGTCCTCGCCCACACTCAAACCACACCCAAAAAAGCCTATGAAAGGTACCAGGGGCATCTCATGGGGCCCCCTACTGACCCCGGGCCCTCGGGCAGTGCCCGAGTTCCCAAATTGTCAGTCCGCCCCTGCCGGTGAGTGTATATCAATGCCAGTGGTTTGGTATTTATGACAGATGTTTTTATCTTCGGAAAATTCACAAAATGTGACCTGTTTGCGGGTATATGTGGAATGCGGTCGTAAAGTACCACTATAGCCACTTGGTTCTCCAAAGCAAAATTTCCTGCCCCACCTCTAGAACTGGCTCCATCCACTGCCATGGCTCCTGATCATCGCACATGGGTCAATCAGATGCAGAGGATTCCCTCCCTCACCTGTGTAAACAGTTGCTCAGAATGTGGCATTCCAGACGTATCATTAGGTTCACTGCCCTGTAAGCTTCATCTGTGGTAGGTTGGAGAAGACATTGACTTACTGTTCTTCTGTCTTCCAGCTTTCCTTCACTGATGTCATACAAAGTTCCGAAGGAGGATGTCCAGTCCCTATCACAAGCCTTTTTTAACCTGGGACAAGGTAAAGCCTCTTCTGTTTTAGATATATTTCATTCATGTTGTACTATTGGGGACATAACGGCAATAGACTATATGGAATAACAGATGTTTTAATTGCGAGTCCCTCAAAAAATGAAAGCTGAACTAATATGATGTGAATCTCTGTGCAGCCAGTTTAATAAGAGCCGTGGGGCCCTAACAGCCAACAAGTTCCTTGGCCTCCACTACAGCATCATGGCTTGGTCAAGGACATGCCCCTGACTTATCAATTGGGCAATGAAAGAGCGGGACATTAATGGCGCACCTCTCTGCTGTCTTGTACTGCCATCACGTGCTTTGCAGTAGAGTTTGACTGGGTGTTAGTGCAAGCCCTGCCTTCACTACATCAGGGTGCTGCTGATCAGGAGATTATAGGAGGCTTATGATAGGGTGAAGTCCAATACTCATACTCGATGGATTTAAAAATACTTTTGTTTTTTAAAGGCAATGAATAGTTTGTTCAGGGTTTACTATGATACACTTGTACACTGTATGCCCAAAAAAGTGTGGAGACCTGACCATCACACCTTGTGGGAAATCCTATTCCAAAACCACAGCCAATAATATGAAGTTGCCCCCCCTATTTAACGTCCTTCACTATTCTGGGAAGGTCTTTCACAAGATTTTGGAGGGTGTCTGTGGAAAATTCATGTCCATTTGTGAGGTCAGGTACTTATATTGGACAAGAAGATCTGGATCACCATTGTTGAAATTCAAAGGTGTTCAGTAGGGTTAAGGTCAGGACTCTGTGCAG